CTTCTAAAATTACACTTATTAGGAGTACCATATTGTATTGTGGTATTGCCTCAAATCCAAAGTGCATTCTGATAATTAGGCTATTTTACAAACAGTGTGTAAAGTTATATTGTACGAGTTCTTTTTACTTAAAAATTGACCTTAAATCAATTGGATATCTTATACCCAATGGAATCTTAGACTTAGGGGACTATGGAATTCTAAAATCACATTGCTTTGTGAGGAGGTTACCTAAGGTGATTACTCTTACTTTGGGATGACTTAATACTGGCAAGTGAAGCAAGTTGATTTGAGCTAGAATTGTCAAAAATTTCACAGAAAATGCATATTATAAAAATGCTGGGGCCAATGGGACCAGCAGTTAGCGTAATGGCTATGTCGGTGGATTCCCATGGAGTCAACTGCAGTTCGCGTCTTGGACCCGGTGGCTTAAAACTCACGCCAGGCAGGTGTGCGTGCGTGCCCAAGATCCCGAGAGGAGAATGGAGGAGAAGGGATTGCGGTGTGGCCATCCCCCTGGGGGGTGATTTCTCGTTTTCTGTCTCTCTGTCTCTCTCTGTCTGTCTGGTGAGCACACGCGCCCTATAGCGAAAACCTCTCAAAAAAAAAAAAGACAAAAACAAAAACTGGGACTGGCAGGTGGCATGGTGATTAAGGGTGCTGGACTCCCACAAGGCCTAACATGGTTTGAGTCCCAGACCTGGTGGCTCACTTTCTCACTTTCTCTTTGTCTCTCTCTCTCTTTCTCTCACTCTATCCCTCTCTGGTCAAATTAAAAAATAAATAAAGTTAAATAAAATAATTATTTAAAAATAAATGCTAGGCACAGATTTCAAACCATCTTATGCCAAAATAAACTCAGACTTTATGTTTTTCCAAGAACTTTTTGAAGTTCTCACATAGGCGGTTGTGCAAAAGTGTCAATACTGATAGTATGTATGCAAATGAGCATATGAAAGCTATCACTGTAGCTAACATTTGTACTTATGTTTGCACATTATTTTAGCAGTCCCTCAGATTTCCTTAAATATAATAGGGAACATATTTATAATAGCAAATTTGAAGACAAGCAAAAGCCTCTCCCATCAGCTCCCAGACACCCCTGGCTTCACAATAAGAGTACATCCTTTCTTCAGTGGTCGTGTGGCAGCCATGCCTAGTTCTGTCTGACTGTAGGGCTGTACTTTCACATGCTTCCAAATACCATCTAAAATCCGACCTACACAGCACAGTGCTAGACACATAGCAGTTATTCAATTATCACCTACTGGCTAACTTATGTGAAGTATAAACCTGTATCATAATTAGGCATATGCATAGCTTTTTTTTTTTTTAAGAGAGATTTTTGCTAGAGGGCACATACATTTGCCAGAGAGACAGAGAGACAGAAAGTGAGAAAGGGGGAATGGCCACACTGCAATCCCTTCTCCTCCATTCTCTCCTTGGGATTTTGGGGATGCACATACACGTGCTAGGTGTGTTTTAAGACACTGGGTTCAGGACTTAAGCTACGTTCGACTACTTGGGTTGACCAATGTGACCATTATGCCATCTGCTGGCCCCAGCCACAGTTTTTTTTTTTTTTTTTTGGAGAGGTTTTTGCTATAGGGCGCGTGCGCTCGCCAGACAGACAGAGACATAGAGACAGAAAGCGAGAAATCCCCCCCCAGGGGAGATGGTCACGCCGCAATCCCTTCTCCTCCATTCTCCTCTCGGGATCTTGGGCACGCACACACACGCGCCCAGCGTGAGTTTTAAGCCACCGGGTCCAGGACACGAACCGCGGTCGACTACATGGGAGTCCAGCGACATAGCCATTACACTGCTGGTTCCCAAGTCCCAGGCACAGCTTTTAAGAGTTGGGTTGGGGCCAGGAGGTAGCAGAGTGGTTAAGACACTGGACTCTCACGTAGTCAACTGCAGTTCAAGTCCTGTACCTGGTGGCTTGCTTTCTCACCTTCTCTGTTTTTCTCTCTGTCTCTCTCTAGTGAGCACACACACCCAACATCAAATTAAAAATTAATAATAATGAAGAAAATTAAATAATTCTTTAAATAAAAGAGTTGGGAAAATAAAGTTTCTAAAAATGTCTTTTTCCCCTTATTATATAAAATCGCTTTCTGTTTATTTGGTACTTAATTTTTATACAGACAAAAGTTACCAATACATTAAACCCTAAAAGAATTTTTCCCCTGAAATCTTTTCTTTCAAAAGTTATTTAATTTTATGTGCTATTATTATTATTATTATATTTGACCAGAGATAGTCAGAGGGAGAGAGAGAAAAAGGGAAAGTGAGAAAGCAAACCACCAGGTCCAGGACTTGAACCTCAGCTGACCATGTCAGAGTCCATCACCTTAACCACAATGCTACCTCTGCTCCCCCAAACAATCTTGAAAAGAAATAATCTTGTTCCTATTTTGGAAACAAATAATGGAAATTACCACACCTAAGGGTGACCCAACATTCACAAAATACTCCGACCAGAAATGGAAAACTCAATGGTTATCATAAACAGTAAAATGTGATGTTAAAAGTAGATGACGCAAAACATTGATCATGGAACAATTAATCTGTAATAGACTGAAATTACTGACAAGAATTATCTTTAGGAATACTGACTTACCAACCATGAGGAAGTGGTATGCAAATATTTTAATTAACTAAACGAAAAAGTAATAACCCATATATACCTGCAAAGAACAAGGATGTATGAAAAAAAAAGGAGAAAAAGATTAGTCTTAAAATATTTAATCCAAATCTTAGAAAAACTCCTGATGTTTACAACAGTCTACATTAACAAAGGGAAAGAAGTTCTGTGAACACTTGATGTTACAATAGGCGACAAATCTTTAGTTTGTTTTTAGATCTTAAAATAAAAATAAAATGTATATGCCCAAGTAAGGCATATGAATCATTAATTGAAATGCAAATTCCATTTTCTTAATTGCTACCTAATTCCTTCAGAGTTATCTGACGATAGAAGGACTGTATGACATACAGACAGGAGGAATAAGGTGACTTGCTTTTGCCCATTTTTTGTTTTTTACCCACTTACAAACAAAAGAAGTTAAACTATGCTTGATTCTTTTCAAAACCATAATTATGTACAAGCCCTCCTACTTTTTCCTTTGACTGTACTGATTTGCATAAAAAAATTCTTCTTTATTCTTTAAATGTTGTTTGACCCAGTAGCATCGGAAACATTGTAACAGCTTACTTTATGCTTCACAGAAGAGGGAGCAACACCCACAAAATTTCCACAGAAATAAAAGAAACTTTCATTGAGGTACAGAGGATTTACCTTCAGAATGTGCGTCAATACCTATCATGTATGCATGTAATATTTTAAGAACACTCTATAAATGTTTCTGAGTTAATAAATATATGACACATTCTAGCTTATTGCCCTATATTTGGTATATTCTCATTTGGAAGTCTTTTATTTGAATTTATCCAGGAACCGTGGTTAAAAATAAAAGGCAAAGGAAACAGATGACTTCTTGCCTCCTAATACATGACCTGCCTATGCTTAATTGAGTGATAAGCTCAGAGAAAGGCTGTTTTTAAGCTAGCAGTGAATTCTATCAGTCAAAATGATTTTGAAAGAGATAAAGAAAAGCCCTGGCTTAAATTGTTAGGAAAGGAAGGCCTTACTTGAAGTCATGTTAACTTTCCATTCTGCAAAGTAACTTGTCCACATAAAAACAGCAAAAAGGACTTCATTTAATTAGAGATAGGTAAAGACTTTTGCATAGAAAAGGGTTACAAAGTAATGCAAAAAAGACTAGGTACAATAATTTTAAAACAAGTATTTAAAAGTATAATTTTGCATGTTTAACATTCTCACGTTTATTGCTTTCTCCACACAGCAGAGAAATGAAGTGCATAATAATACAGGCTGTGTCTCTTTCAAATATAAAATCTTACCTGCTCAATTTCAATGTATTAAGAGATTATTTTGTCATTAAACAAAATAAAAACCAAAAACACAATTATGTAGCTCTAGTCTAGGCACAAACAAAAATAATTTATGTACATTTCACTGCATACATTCATCCTGACTCGGGACCGAATGGAATCATCTAACTTGATGAAGGGCATTTAAAAATCATGGCTTTCTTTTTCCCAATACTCTCATCTCATCAGCCCTCGAAAACGCACCTTTCCCCACAAGATAACATGTTATGAAGAGAAAATAAAGAGGATAAATATATAAAAGTAATCCAAAGGAAACCGAATAAATTAATCCAAAATCTCAGAAACTGGAGTTTTCAAATGGACAGACATCAAATGGTATCTCGTGGGGAGAAAGCAGACAACTGCCTCTAGGTGCACTATTTAAATGTAGGGTTTATATAAAGAAGCACCATAGTTTGAGCCATCAAAAAGCAAAAAGGGCCTGGAGGCTTGCAAGCAGAGCAGAAATGCTTGTTAATCTGGGCAATGATGGAATAATTGCTTTCACTAACGTATTGCTAATGTCACCACTTGGCAAGTTGGTACAAAGAAAGCAAAATAAGATAAAACTAAGTCTCTCAACTTGAAAATTATTTTCAGCAATTTTTTTGACCAGTAAAACCTGTGGTTTTCAAGCGTACTCTTCTCTGACAACTGCAGTAAAATGTCTGGAATCTAATGCAAAATTCCTGTCCCTTTCCCTTCTTAATCTCAACTCTATACTCTTCTTTACTTGCGCAATGTGATATATTCATTAGGAAACTTCCCTAGCTCAGGCACTTAAAAAACATGAATTTTTTTTTTTCCATGTAGCTTCAAGAGAATTCAGTCAGGGCATTTTTCTTCCCCAATTCAGACATACTGATGCACTGTTTGTTAGTACAGTTCATATATTTTCCAGGAAAGTTTTAAGTGGAAACAAGTGTGAAGTTTTCAAAAGTTGCTGATGTCAGTTACGGAGCTGCCTTTAAAAAAAAAAAAAAAAAAGAGAGAGAGAAAGAGAAAAAAAACTAGATAATACCACATTTCCACTCGTGAGGTTTGTGTCTGAAACAGTTTTATTGTTTTTTTGTGGATCTGCAGGCGTCTGCATGGCTAGCTTCAGGGTGCAGACAGAAGTTTTAAGCTGACTCTGAAATGAAGGACATTCAGTGCAAGAAGTTCACAGAAAACTTAAAAAGCTCCAACTTCTGTCCCCCAGGGCCGGTAAGGTTTACTGTTTGTTCCACTGCTCGTCTGCTGAGGGCTGGACGTGGCTGATACTGATAAGGGTGGGCTGAGGGCTGTTGCGGCTGCAACTGCTGCAGCTGCGTTGGGGGGGAGCATGGGGAATGCCCCTGCGAAGGACAGAGGGAAGCTGTGTGCAGCTGCGGTGGCTGCAGCGGCTGCGGCATGGACGGTAGCTGAGAGGGACAAGAGAGAGGTGGAGAGAGGTGGCACACAAGGTGCGACACTGCCCGTTGTTGGCATTCGCAGGGCAGAATCTGCGTGGGCAAACGTGGCAGTGAGGAGAGCAGAGCCGTGGGCAGGAGGCACTTCTGAGGTTGTGGAGAGGCGACAAGGGGTTGACTCCGAGGCATGGAGTCCGCTGGGTTGGAGCAGGGCTGCGGGAAGATGGTGGAAGGCTGCGGCCCAGTGATGTGGGTGGAGGGGGTGATGGTGGTGGGCCATTGAGGACGTCATGGCTGCTGCCTCCCGCTGGGAGGCACAAGTGCTGAGATGAGAGACGAGTCGTACCCGCAGTGGATCGGAGGAGTCCAGGCCTTCCACAGAGCTCAAGTACCTCGCCACTTCCGTAAGGCACTCCCGGAATCCAATGCTCATGAAATCCATGGCAAGAGCGTGGGCGTCAAAGTAGCCTAGGAGGGAATTTGTGCAAATTAGGAAAGAGAGAGAGGCAATAATCACACACACGCCCATATTCCACTCTGTCCTTCAGAAGATTTAAGTAGAAGGATAATAATCCTTTGTGAAAATGCTGCCAGCTATTAATGGTTTCCATTTTTGCAGAAGTTAAGAAAGTATTGTTTGCAATTTACATGTGTGACAGCTCTGACCATGCAATAGTTACAGTTGTCTTTGCAAATGATACCCCAGAGGACAAAAAAATTAAGACCATCTCTGTTTCAAACACTTAAAAAAAAATGGTGTGTCTTCTTTTGTGTTGTGGGATAGTGCAATTCTCCCAGCAAATTGTTTTCTACGGAAATACAGCGCTCCAGTCTCTCTGTCTCTGTCACATGAGTTGGAGATTAAAGGGCTTATCTGAAACATCCTTACTCTCCTGGCATTTTAGCAAGGTCACAAAGTGCATCTCAGTAGCTTGAGGACTTTCTTTAGTTATCTGCTATAATCGTTAATACATTCAAAAACGCTTCTGGACTCTCTGTATTTTTTACCAGCTGAGTGCAAACTCCTTGCCATTACTCTGTATGAGAAAAATATAATAAACAAAATGAAATTTTTCCTTAGTTTGTTACTAATTCGAAGATTTATTTTTTCTGTTAAGTAACTTACGTCTGCTTTACTGATAGGAGATTACTTTATCATAACTCTTAGCTTTTCTGAAATGCAAATACATATCTCCTTCATTGGCTTGCTTACTTCACTGCTTAGCCAGAAGCATCAGTGCATATTAATTGTGTCAGCGAGTACGCACTTACTCCCAGACCTATGCTCCTACCACAAAAATGGTGCAAGCTGTGTCATATCAGTCACTTTTCCTTTTTTTTTTTTTTGGAGAGGTTTTCGCTATAGGGCGCATGCACTCGCCAGATAGAGAGAGACATAGAGACAGAAAGCGAGAAATCACTCCCCAGGGGGGATGGTCACGCTGCAATCCCTTTTCCTCCATTCTCCTCTTGGGATCTTGGGCACGCACGCACATGCGAGTTTTAAGCCACCAGGCCCGGGACATGAACCGTGGTCGACTACGTGGGAGTCCAGCGACATAGCCATTACGCTAACTGCTGGTTCCCCCTTTTTTTTA